ATTTTTCTTCTTTTAAATCAGACACACATTGGCTGGCAGCAAGCTCTTACATACATCTGCTTTGGGTTTCCAAGATATTGCAGGCTGGATGTGAACTCGATGTACAATTGTGATGGAGAATTGTAGGATGAAACTGAAGCACTGGAAGCTGGCCTTGCCGTGTGGCACCAACTCCCAATGGCAATCATGTGCCAACCTTGCCCAGCTGCTCCTGGGCATCCGTGCCACATCCATGTCATTGCAACCGCACTATCTCTAAGTTTACCCTGGCATTTCGCACTAAAGACCCTGAGGCATGCAGGAACGCGGCCCCTATCTCCACGCTTAGAGCTGTCAGGTCCAACCAATCCGCCACCCACCCATGGACCAGCTTCAGAACCAAGTCCGCATTTCAAAGGCCTCAATCAGTGCCACATTATTAAAAAGGTTCAATATGCAAAGGTCCAACTGGTCCACTCTCAGGAGATGTGCAGTGCTGGGCATGTGTGGGGCGATTGCATATTAAACCAGGCTCAACAAACATAATAAGATGGGCTGAGTGACAAGTTATAGTCTACTAGTTTTCACATTCACGCAGACATAGGCTATGCATACAAACAAATCTCAGCCCTAATAAACATTTATCTAGTTGACTACCACACTAATAGGTGTTGCAATGTCATCCACTAACATAACCAGTGAACCATTTCTGCATTCTTGCTACCACTTTCGTCTAATGCAGTTTTAATGTTATTTCTCTGGCGTGTTTTGCATCGATCTTTGCTTGCTCAACCTTACACAAGTACTTTGTTGTCATCGTGTACCTTTAACGAGCTTACTGACGCTGGTTAGATTTCCCAAAGCTCTGCTTCTTGGCACGAGGTGAAGCGTGGGCCCAAATAAGAAAAAAATCCCCCGCCCTTTTGCAGCGTTGCTCATGGCAACAGCGTACTCAATACTGCTAAAGCGTTTTGAAACTTATATAAAAGCTGCACATCTGTTGCGCGAGCATCCACTTTGGTTTTATATAAATAATTAACTCGTTTAAATTCACCTAATTAGCCACTGCACTGAAGAGAACTGCTGGTAAAATGCACATCACACGCGAGGAGACATATTTAAAGGGGAAGTTCATCCAAAAATGATATTTCTAGTCATCATTTCCTCATTATCCATGTGTTCCAAACATGCAGGAATGAGCTAAATACATTGAAATGTATTTTAAAATAAAACACCAAATACACCAGTTTAATGTGTACTAAAATAAACTGCAAAATACAGCAGCCACAAATGCATCAAAATAAAACACTGTATTTTGAAAATACAAAACATTTTTACAAGAGAGCATGACATATCTTCGCAAACCTTCTATCAACAGGCCTATTCGATCAATCGCTTCACCATTAAACTGACTAAGTAAAGTAAACAAAGACTGATAGCAGCAGCTTTTCTCTGAGCAAGTTTAAGTCAGCTTCTCTGTCACCTCATTCACCTCTACTGGAGACCGGGTATAATTGAAACACAGGGTGAGTTGTAGCACTACCAATTCCATGAATCAGGGATAAGATAGGGGGCATGTAACATTTTTAGTTTCCTCAGGTTTTCTTAACAATCACATGGAGATTTTCCACTTGGGCTTGCAATCTCTTCAGAAGCTACAACAGAAAGTCGAATTCTGAGGTAAGGAAGTAAAAAAGCAAGATAATATTTTGTTTAGTACCACTATTCAACTCAACTCAGCTTTATTTGTATAGCGCTTTTACAATGTAGATTGTGTCAAAGCAGCTTCACATAAATGGTCATAGTAACTGGATCAGGGTAGTTCAGTTTTTAGTGTTTAAGTTCAGTTCAGTTTAGCTCAGTTCAGTGTGATTTAATCATTACTGAGAGTCCAAACACTGAAGAGCAAATTCATCGATGCATAGCTCTACAGATCCTAAACCATGCAAGCCAGTGGCGACAGCGGAGAGGGGAAAAAAACTTAACCAATAGGAGAGTGAAGAAAAAAAAACCTTGAGAGAACCAGACTCAGTTCGGCACGACCATTTCAATTTCTCCGCTGGCCAAAAGTCTTGTGCAACTACCGTTGTAGATGATGTTGTATGAGTTGTATCAGGTCAAACTGTAATTTCTCTAGTAAAAAATGGTGTATCAACCTGCTAATTTCAAAGCATAATGCTTATTTAGCTAGCTAAACAATGGGTGAGAGTGGCGAGGTAGGTTAAACCGCGTGTTTTGAAAGTGTACGCGCACTTACACACATATGAATGGGCACATAGACATGTACACACAAACACACATGTGCATGCACAAACACACACAATATGCACATACACTTCCAATACTCACATATATAGTATTGTTGCAGTCATTTATTTAGAATAAATTGGTTGTTGTGGCATATCACTTGTCGCACCTTTAGTTTTTGTATACTTTGTGTACCTGTTACAACTTACCCCAGCACGTGTTACAACCTAGTAGTGGTGTACTGTAGGTTGTAACAAATGACCACTTTGTGTTTCCCAAATCTTAGTTGGGAGTTTTTGACCAGTCTGTAGATAATATATTTATTATTTAATAATAAGTATTATTAAATAATTGGACGTAAGTCAAAGTAAGACAGGAAAATAAGCCAAACTTATAAAAAAAAATTTACTTTATAAGATAAAGTCCTACAGTGGCAATACCTACAAAACCTCATTGGCTGCTATTTGTCTGTAACTTTCTTTATATGTGATGTATAAATCCCATCAATAGTTCAAGCATTGATCAACTTATTCAATATTAATTAAATTTCTGGTCTGATCTCAAGTCTTGGCAAATAAATAAGACAATCATGTAGACAATTTTACAGTATTTTAAAAATACTAAAATACAAGACACTAAGTATTTTGATACAAAATATTCACCCATTCTCATGAACCCCATAAAATACATCTTACAAAATACCACTTTGTATTTAAAATACTGCCCATTCCTGCAAACACGTTTGGGTTTTTTCTTTTTCTTTTGTTGAACACAAAGATATGTTGTAGAATGCTGGCCATTCACTTCCATTATAATTTTGTTAATATGTATGTCAATGGCTGTTCCCCAACATTCTTTCAAATATAATGTTTTGTGTTCAACATAAGAAATAATAATATTAATAATATTAAGAAGAAGAAGAAGAAGAAGAAGAAGAAGAAGAAGAAGAAGAAGAAGAAGAAGAAGAAGTAGAAGAAGAAGAAAAAGAAGATTATAAACACTGGAATGAAAGTAAATGTAAGAAAATGTTTGTTTTTTTGGCGAACTGTCCCTTTAAAAGCATCTCGCGCGCATTGCGTATTGCATTTAAGAAGCCGTTTTGACAGACTGCCAAGGCGATGTAAAGCACCCCCTTGTTTTCCCCCAGGCGATGTTTCGTATAGGATGAGTAAACTCGACCTTTTTTCCCAACCAGGTGCCAGAAAATCGATGAATACAACTTTTATTTTTCTCACACACGTTCAGGGCTGAAGTGCAGCTGTCGTATAGGCGACACGAGGATTCCCACAGTATTGAAAAGAGTGATTAGAGCGAGAGTGACAGCGACGGGGTCTAACTACACTTGGAGTGCATTTTGATGCTAAACGATAGTCTAATTAAAGCAGAAAATCAGGCTTTGCTTATTTGCTCACATAGAGCGAATAAAGATCAATATGTTCCTACACAGAAATAAAGGTATAAAGCTCTCACTAGGGTGGTAGCCTACCTTTTCTAAATGTTAGGCATACCGGTTGGCTACTAATGCTTTACCTTTAGGGATAGTGAGGGACAGTCGCAACACTTTCTTTGCATTTCCTTCAGTTTCTCTGAGACCGTTTTTTGTGGAAACCCAATTTTTTTATATAATAAACCCACATCTATCAGACACCCATCCATATTGTTATAATATTTGTACATATGATAATATATGCAGAATTTAAAGTTGAACAGACGAAGTCAAATGTCACAACTGACCCCGAGCAGGGGAACGGTTGCAACATTCATTGAAATGTGTTGATTAAATAATTCTGAAACATCAGGTTGGGTTTTATTTCCTTTTTTTTTTTTTTTTTTTTTTTTGGTAAAAAAACTATATAAATTAGTTAATTGTTAAATTTGTTAAATGTATAATATAAACAGACTGTTAAAAAAGCAAGCAAACAACCAATTGGTCAATTATCAGGCCTACAAAATATCAATAAATAAAATATATTTACTGAAAATCTAGAATGAACCTTTACTAAACAACTTTTTTGACATTTAAAATGAATTAGTTAATCAAATAATTTGTTCTTTGAAATTAAATTACATTGAAACTGTAATAAAATTAAACTTGTTCATTGTTAACATGCCCTCTCCTCTACATATCATTATTTGTAATAAAAAAAATTGGGTACAAACATGTACTTGAAAAGATACTGGCCCAATGATGCTGTTGTACTATTATTTTTTCTGGCTGTAGTGACTTCTGGTTAAAGAAATGAAAACAGAAACGCATTTAAACAAAACGATAACCAGGTTGATGTTTTCCTTCAAATTATTTATTTCACATTTTGTCATTTCGTTAAAATCATAGTGCACCACTTTTATGGTATTTGTTGGATTACACAATATAACTTAGAAACCTTGCAATGATATTGTTAAGCTGACTCAAATGCATCCCAACAAAATAGCCTCGAAATTAAATAGACAAGTTAATAGCAATAAGTAAAGTAAAACCGTCTTTATGTACTCTATTTTACATTTATAAATGAAAACAGACGAAATTTGGTTTTTTTTTTTGACAAAAAGCGACATTTAGTGGCGATCTATGAAATGACACATGGACATCAGAATGAGCTTTATTCGCTCAAGTGTGTGCGAATGGTGTTTTCAGGAGCTCAGGGTACATACATACATACATGCATGCACACATATCAACACAAGAAGACAGAAGCACATTTAAATAAGACATTACTGAGTCGTTTAAGTAACACTCAACAAAATTAACACAAAGATACCTCTGAATTTCAGACGGCAATTTATAGAAACGTTTCCTGTTTGCAGGGACTCGTTTAACACAGTCTTAACCAATTAATATTTCGGCCACTTACATAAAACGAACAAATGCTTTAGCCATTAGATGTGGCTATTAGTCACACACACACACACACACACACACACACACACACACACACACACACACACACACACACACACACAACATTATTGAACTTAAATAACTACTAACTTCTGCACAGAAAGGTCGTAATTAAAATATTGTAGAGATGCAGAGAGGGGCTGAGGTGTGCCGACTTTATTTTAATGTTTAAGAGGCTCCTCTTATCACTTTATTATATATTATTGTCACGCGCCCTGGTTGAGAACTTTTCCACTGATGTGCGTTTTTGCTTTAAATAATTCTGGAGTTAAATATTAGCAATGCCTTTACGATTTTTATAAACTTTAAAATGACTGTTATAAATTAAACATATCTGTGTTCTGAACTTTGGCCTCTTCGCTGCTGGTTTCACACTTGCACTCCTCAACGATCAGGACGCGCCTCTCCCGCACCTCAGACCCGCAGCGCAGGTGCAGGAGCACGGAGCGCGCTCTAGAGGGGCCGCAGCGCGTGCACTGCGCTTTCTGTTGTCCGTGAGAGCCTCCGCTGGAGGGCACGAACATGGAGCTGCACTGACCGTAGCAGAGATTATTGTGAACGGTCACCGTCTCACAGCCCTCCTCCGTTATGCGCTGTCAACAGAAAATAAAAAAGTCTATTCAACACATAAGTAATAGAAAAAAGTGATATAAAAATAATAGGCATTGCATTAAGTAATTGATATCAAGAGAAATATAATTATTTTTGTCAAAATTAAAGAAACCGGACTGTTAAAAAGGATCAGCTTAATTATTATTCTTATCATGTTTATGGCATGTTGTGGTCTCAATATAAAATGCCGTCATTATGTTTAAAAAAAAAACTCATGTTTGCTTAAGGATCTGCTTATATTAGTTTTTTGGGGGGTTTTGTGTTCGTTTAAAATAGTTTTTGTAATTTATTACATTTTATTTACTGTAATTTATGTATTTATTGTTTTTATGTATTGTAACTTATTGTTATTTATTGTAAACTCATCTGCTTAATGATCATCTGCTAACTTCATCCTTCAAAATAACTTTAGTTTTTAATGAATCAAATTTTCGATTTGATTCATTGAGATTTTTAGGTGCAGTAGTTTGATTTTAATGCAATTGCATACCATTCAGGACAGCAATTTATTGGGTTAGTATTATTTTTTTACATCGAAAAACATAACCACTACACTAAAATATCGTGTTGCGTTGGGTCATATATATACCAACCATTGAATTAAAAAGTGTCATTTAAATTAAACTGAAATAAAATAAAACCCAAAATTTGACGCGGTGTGCTCAATTGGTTAGTAGAGTTAACACATGTACAATATAATATACTAACATCGTATTACCTTTATACTTTAGGCTATATTATAATAAAGAATATTATGTATGCCTAGGGTATATAATAAGTTATAAATTAAATGTATAATGTTTATGATATTCAAATATCATATAGATCAGTATTCTAGACTTTGCAGAATTAAAATCATTTAGAAATTAAATATTTCTGACATTATTGAGTTTGACCAAAAACTCTTTTGAACAGTAATAAAGCTACTCATACCTGTGTAAAGGGAACTGCGGCACAGCTCTGTTTGTTCATGTCTTTGGGATTGATGCGCAGAGCCACTGCCTCTTTTTTTCGCTCGCTTTTGTGCACCACTTTCTTCCACATCTCGAGCCCTTGTTTCCTCCTGTCTGCACTGCTGCTCACCTGAGGCGCAGGTTTGCTATGGGTCAGGATTGCGGGGCCCGGACGTCCGAGGGCCAAGAACGCGGGAAACGCGCCTCGACTTGGTGAATTTCTGAACGGCACATGACTAACGGCGGCCCGGCGCAGAAAATGAGGGTTTAGTTTGACAATTCGGACAGATCCCCGAACAGGTTCGTCTGGTCCATTCCCGGAGGATTCAAAGTCTTTCGCCACGTGTCGGTGAAATTCCCGCTGAAATGCATTGCGCGGGAAAGCGCCAATTGTTGTGACTGACAACAGCACAAAAAAGCCGACCTGAAAAGTCATTTTAGCTAAATTATAGAATTTTACAAAAAAAAAAAGAGAGGGAATTTATTTCTCTCTAAAAATACATATAGTCGATTATTTGTTGAAAAATCTTGCGGTTCAAGGTTTCGTTCGGTCACCTTGCTGTCGTTATAGACATGGACACATTGCTGAGCATTATATACTCAACAGGTGCTTTCATGGTCATCATTGTTTTATTATGGGGTGAATATAGCTGTTTGAAACATGTTAAGACACAGGAAGAGCCAATAATGGATGTCAGTGGCAGGTGAGGTTTCGTGAGGCAGTGAGAAGTGCACCTTTCATCTCTTTTTAACCATGTCGTGGGAACGAGTTTTTGTCCTTATTTTAGCCTAATATTTTAACGCAATTCCAGACTCTTTTTTACCCTTTCAGTAGCTTACATTTTAATCGTAGCACATAGCATTTTTTATTTACACAAGAAAAAGCACCTATAGGCTAGAATGACAAAGAAACGAATTATTTCTATTCAGCAATTTCCCCTTATTTCTCAAAAAATAAAACACATATAGCTCCAATTACCAAGACAAGAATTAGACTATTTATCCAATAAACAATAACCTTAATAATAAGGTGATAAAATGATCTTAATTTCAGCATGAAAACGATTATACAAAATAATCACTACTTATGGCTGCCCAAAGGTGTCTTTCTCACGGTACTGAAGGCTTTTCTCACCTGAAGTCAGATGTTGAGCTCAGGTGTGAAGTTTTCCCTAACTTCAGGTACACTATACACGACAAAAAGCCTGAATCATATTTACGACCTTCAGGAAAACACTTTCCCAAGGGAACAAGCAAACAAAGAGCAACAAAGTGACGAGACTTTTCATTTCACTTATAAAGAGCAACGACAAAGATGTAAAAGATTAAGCTAAATTAGAGGATCGCGTTTATAATAACAGATAATTCAACAAACGCAAAGACCCAAGTATTATGTAGGCCTAAATATGCATTTAAAGCATTTTACCGGGATCATTCTGTAAGTAAAATAAATGAAAAGCGTAATTTTATTTTGCACTTCAAAAATAGTTAAACTATAATGACATATGAGTCTGCAGAACACTGAAATGTAATGAATTTTGTTCCGAAAATAATACCAGAGAACATTATGTAGTGTTTGGCAAAACTTCAGTTTTATTTACTCACATTTACTGAATTTGGGGTATGTAAAATAAGAAGATACGAGTAAACAAGTGATCCCGAGGTCTTGTTTTTGTTTAGGCTATATTTAATAAATCAAATAATTAATTACAAATACAATAAATAAAATTTAATAAATTACAAAAACTGTATATAAAAAGAACACAAAACCCAAATAAACAAATATTTTTGCATCGACGGCTTTTAATAAAAATACTACAGGATAAAACTAATATGTGCATGCAAATACATTCAGAAACCAGCAGGTGGAGCTCGTGTCTCACCAAGGCGCTATGTACAGACTCGAGATTATGAGCAAATTCATCGTTTTATATTAGTTTGGACCCTTCTGAGTGTAGCAGACTGCCTCTGTTGAGCCAGGAAGGACTGGGGCTGACTGGATCCTCTCACTTCATTCTCTGACATCTGCTTGAAGGCTGTTATCTATGAATGACACGAATATATATGTATATATATTGCTAATGTACTGATTTTACACACATACGCACATACCATACTGTGCCATGCACCTTCGTCCATGCGATGCCTGCTGACATCCAAAATTGGCCTCTGGGAACTAGAAAAAGAAATGCGCTCTTTTATTCACGTTTGGATTCCTGGATAAGTTTTTAACCATTCATGCTACTCACTCGAGTTTCCTTGAACTCATTTTGGACGGCATTGCCTACTCTTTTTTGCAGTTACTGAAAAACGCCTCGAGGTGGAGCCATTGGCCTACAATACAAACAATGCAGTCAACCCAATGGCAAAACAACAAGGTCAACAAAAAACTACTTTACCATTTATTACAGGCAAAGATATTCTACATGTGAGCCAGAACCACAAAACCCGGTCAAAATGGTCAGGTTTCTGAAATTGAGATCATATAATCTGAAAGCAGAACAAATAAGCTTCTCATTGTTTTATGGGTTGTAAGGACAATATTTTGGCCCCCATGGACCCTGTGTTCATTACAAAGGACATCACAAGTCAGTTCATGTTTTTGTGTTTCCTGAGCATTTCATCTAATTTAAAGCCTGCAGTCCATGAGAGTGGACAATTGTCATCCAATCAAATAGTGGTAAAGCTTAGGATTTTGAAATTTGAAAAAAATCCACTACACCGAAAAGCAGCATGGCATCAATTCACTCCAGACACAGATGCAGGGCCGGATTAATCCATGGGCATTAGGGGCACAGGCCCAGGGTTCTGTGCACACTTGGGGCCCCTGCAAGGGGGGTAGTGCAGATTTTTTAGTGTCTATTTAGGCTCAACGCAAATAGCTCACCTCGTTGGAATAAGCCAATTTAGTGATTTCCACCTATAACAGTTTGACTGACAGAGACAACATAACTAACGAGCGCTTCAAACAGCAGCGTGAGTGGCGTAGCTCGTAAAGCGCATGGCAACTTGTTTTGACACGATCATGAACCCAGTTTGATTTATTAAATATAGCCTAAACAAATGTCTTAACACTCTAATGGTTTTTGCCATAAAATGAAAATCAGTCATTTTGAATCAAAATATATCTTTGGCTCTTCCTACAAATATGTAACCGAAGATAGTTTTGTGGCTCAGGGTCACATATGGTGAGAAAAATTCATGGTGCTTACAAGAGTACACAAAAAGAGAACTACGAGAATTTGAAGTGTACATGCAATGGACACTTAATTATACCATGAGGCCATAAGAGTGCATTTGTTAGTGTCATTGAAGCAACATAAATGATCCTGACCAGGCACATGAGAATGAGAACTTTGCAAATGTAGTAAATACATTTTAAAATCATCTTCATTCTATACAGAACATACATTATTAGCTCTTACACAAGTATTTATTCCAAGCAGGATTTGTAACACAGCCATTGACATTTAAGGCTAATCAAAACAATCAGTTTGTGTCTGTGAAGAGTGTATCTTTGGGCCCAAAGTTCTCCCCATCTCTATCCATTTTGTACGATCTGTCATATATATTTTCACAAAACAAGAAAGTTTAACAAAACTGGTCTCTATTCTCTGTCTCTAATAAATGTGAACACCTTTGAACTGTGCAATTTCTCTGTTGTGTTACAGTATATAGGATTAAATTACTCACAAACAATGTCAAAATTAAACATGTCATATATAATATTTAGTAGCTGATTTTAATTAATACAAATATTTATATTTACTCACCACACTGCTCTCTTCTCTAGTGTTCTGAACACATTAACTCGTATTGACAGGGTAAAAGACGTGTCTGTTTATGTGTGTGTCACCCAGCAGGGCAAATGGAGCCAGTATTGTGCAGCATAGAGCAAAAACATAGAGGAGGATTTAGAGAACAGAAGAGATGCTGACCAGAGCACATATACACACACACCACAACACAAATACAAGCATGTGCTCTTGAAAAACAAATATACCCTCTTTAAAAAAAACTGTTCATTATTGCAATCAGTGGCTCCATTAGGAATGGTTCAAATGCACAAGGATTCCTAAACTTCAAATATTTAGAGATGATGTGAAAAATTATCCAAGAGAGATATTTTCAGATACTTTCTGTTGAATGAATTCTGAGCTTAGTCTTTAACAGCAGATGGTGCTGTGTGCTTTACAAAGAGCCATACTCTGCTTGCATCCAATTCCTTACATAAACCACCTGAACCTAAATCATTAATAAAGTTAGGAACATAAAAGCCAATGTACAGTACATTACTCACCAAATACAGAAGTACTCTTCTAGCATTTGGATGTATGGTTTAAAAAAATGGCCTAGAGCACCATCTGCTTTTCAAAACTAAGCTCAAAATCCATTTAAGAATGAAAAGTGTTGCAGAAATACTTTTTCTAAACAATTTTTCACCATAGCTCTAAAACAGTACACTAAGAAAAGAGTGTTTTTTTTTTTCAAAAACACATACACTCACTGCCACTTTATTAGGTACACCTTCCTAGTACACCACTTCGCCTTCAGAGCTACCTTAATCCTTTATGGCATATAAAGGCCACTGTGGAGGCCATTTGAGTACAGTGAACTCGTTGTCATGTTCAAGAAACCAGTCCGAGATGATTCACACTTTATGACATGGTGTGTTATCCTGCAGGAAGTAGCCATCAGAAGATGAGTACACCATGGCCGTAAAGAGATAAACATAGTCAGCAACAATACTCAGGTAGGCTGTGGCGTTGACATGAGGCTCAAATAGTACTAATGGTCCCAAAGTGGGACAAAGAAAATATCTTCCATACCATTACATCACCACCACCAGCCTAAACCATTGAAACCAGGATGGATCCATGCTTTCATGTTGTTGATGCCAAATATTGACCCTAGCAATGTTTTTCCAATCTTCTATTGTCCAATTTTGGTGAGCCTATGCGAATTGTAGCCTCTGTTTCCTACACTTAGCTGACAAGAATGGCACCCAGTGTGGTCTTCTGCTGCTGTAGCCCATCCGCCTTAAGGTTGGACGTGTTGTGTGTTCAGAGATGCTCTTCTGCAGACCTCGGTTGTAACGAGTGGTTATTTGAGTTACTGTTGCCTTTCTATCAGCTGGAACCAGTTTGACCATTCTCCTCTGACCTCTGACATCAACAAGGCATTTGCGCCCACAGAACTGCCGCTCACTGGATGTTTTCTCTTTTTCAGACCATTCTCTGTAAACCCTAGAGATGGTTGCGCATGAAAATCCCAGTAGATCAGCAGTTTCTGAAATACACAAAACAGCCTGTCTGGCACCAACAACCATGCCACTGTCTAAGTCACTTAAATCACCTTTCTTCCCAATTCTGATGCTCAGTTTGAACTGCAGCAGATCTTCTTGACCATGTCTACGTGCCTAAATCCATTGATGTGCTTCCATGTGATTGGCTGATTAGATTAGTTGATTTGTGGTGACAAGCAGTTGGACAGGTGTACCTAATAAAGTGGCCGGTGAGTGTATATATTGTAGTACACGCTAAGAAACACGGGGTTGTATCAACAACCAATATCAAATATGGACAAACACAGTTGTGTTAAAATGTATTTTTAAATTTTATGCAAAAAAATGAAACCAATGTTGGGTTTGTCCATATTTGACCCAATATTAGGTTAATACAACCCAGCATTTATTAGAGTGTAGAGTCACAAAAAAGGCTTTTATACTGCATAAAGTCTCTTTGAAACATATTCTAATGCATACTAATGCCTACTTGAACTACCTAGTAAATTTGCACAGCAGGAAAATGGCCTTCTGTGGTCAAATGTTCTGTATTAGGTGTGGTGAGCGTGTGTAGGCCATGTGAAAGCTATAATGCATGTTTGTGGCTAACCTGTCAATTCTCAGAACCTCACAGGAGAGATGAGAACAAAAACTGGGTGTTCTTAGGAATGTGTTTTTTTGTGTCAATATGTGTTAGGCGTCTGCAACTCTCCCCATGCTCATCTGAAGGCTGCAGTGCATTTATTTATCAGCTGACCACAAACCACATACTGCACACTCTGTGTTTTGAATGTTTGTGTATGTGCGTGTATCACATAAAGGGGAAATGAGGTGAGGTTTACAGACACATTTCTTGGAACTCGTTGTATCTGGGACTTGTGTAGACATTTCATTCAGTCTATTCTGAGAGGATAATGATCGTCTAATTTATTTATTTTTTTGCATGCAATAGTCATTAGCAAAAATTCATATTCAGCTCTGTTGGTCAACAAACACAACTTGTTGGTAGGTAAATCAAGTCTTTACATTATAAGAAGCCCAATTTTGCATCTAGAACACACAGTTGGCAGCTGTCATATGAGAACACCTTATTTTGACCAGAACTGAATGAACACAATTAACCGAATGAGTCAATGACTGTTTAAAATGAGTAAAAGCTTTTGGAGATGAGTACATTAAGTGCCAGAGACAACTTTTTAACCAACTTTTTGTGGTCTGAAAACATTCCTGTTGTGAATTAGATTAAATTTCACCGATAGCCATGTTAAGAAATATCTGTTCGCGATATATTTAGCTGATTTAATAATCTGAGGCGAATATAAACGCGGCTATTTTTTCACTCACCACAAGGGTGCGCTGCCGAGCCAAGCAAATGCGCTTCAGTCTGACATTTAAATTTGATCGAAAAATCACCTGTTTCTATTAATATTACTGTGTAAAGTGACAAAAATCGTTTCATCTAAGAGAAACAAATAAAAACATTGTTTTAAATGTTATGAAAGGTCAGTGAATCCCACATGTGAATCCTCAGAACGCTTTGAGTAATTGCTAATGAATCATTAGCATACTACTACGCCTATTTAAACCTATCTGTTCTTTACTACTAAGTTTAATCGGTAACATACGTCTATAAACAACACAACAGTGATGTAAATGTGTCTTCTTGTTAAAAACAAAAATAGAAAAATGGCCCACTGTGCCCAGCAGACGAAAATGAATAGGGAAAATGACTAAATTACTACATTTGCTCACCACAGAGCTGCATTGGTTCAGTCACACCAAACAGCCACATACCTGATGGGTTACAAGGCACATGTGAGCGCTGTGAGAATGACTTATAAGCCAGCATGTGGTTTTTCTGTTTTAGAAAACATTAGTTTCATTAGGGAGGAAAGACCTGAGTGAAGGTCTCTCAAACCCCCCTTTTGTTTCAGCGGAAATATGAGTTTTTCCACTGTTGTCTTCAAACTGTGTGTGGTGTTGCTAGCCAAACTAGCCATTATAAAGCAGCAACAGACATAATCCTACACAAACACGACATCATCGTTTCCACACGGCCATTTAAGAGTGGTTTTCGTGCAAGTAAACATCTTGCCCATATCTCTGTTTTCACACAGAACACTACCACTTCTTCATTTCTATAATTGTACTGTTTACATGCACGAATATGTTTGTGTATGCGTTTTGATGAACTGGGGAATCTAATTGTTAGCATTATTGGTGTTTATTTGGTGGATGTATGAGTGTCTGTGGCCCTGGGTGTGTCTTTGTGCAGTATATGTGGACTTCAGCATTACACTTTCCCTCCACGGTCGTGTTTAACTGCAGACTAGACAGTGTGCAAGGCGTCTAGTCGAAACTACACCTGTTAGTCTGCAAACAACCTCGAACAACGCTGACTCTTTGTGTACCCATCTGTCTGTCTGTCAGTCAGTCAGCAATTACTTCAAGAAACTCGCAGCTTCAATTTCAGACAAATATTTGCTTTCTCTCTCTCTCTCTCTCTCACACACACACACACACACACACACACACACACACACACACACACACACACACACACACACACACACACACACACACACACAAAAGGAACAACTATACCACGTTCACTTAAATCACCTTTATTCCCCATTCTGATGCTCAGTTTAAACGGCAGCAGATCGTCTTGATCATGTCTACATGCCTAAATGCATTGAGTTACTGCCATGTGATTGTCTGAATAGAAATTTGCATTAACGAGCAGTTAGACAGGTGTACCTAATAAAGTGGCCGGTGAGTGTATGTGCATATACGTTCAAATGTATTACCTATAAACCTAATATATGACCATTTTCAGTATGAACATATACATTTATTTAAAATATTTGAACATATATGTAACTCCAATGGTTGAAAACATATACAGTATATGTAAATGGTAATTTTTGCAATAGCTTGAAATATATGTTGCAAATGACATATACTTGAAACCAAATATGAACTTGTAAGTAACATATGTAATTAGCATATATTTCATAACTCAGATTTATATATGGCACACAATCACACATCCGTTTGGTTTTCCTGTGCTGTTTCAGTCAGTCTTATCAATGTGCAATTAACTACAGTCTCGCTTTTAAAGTCTAGGAGCTGGACGGCTCTTATCAGTGCTGTCGAGTAAACAGACTGTAACTGTCTATCAGATTGCATTAGACACAACAAGCCATTAGACGTCTGACTCTTTACACGCAGCAGCGGGAAATTTTGTAGCCTTTTTCTCTATGGCTGTTGAGAGGCTTGCTTTGAAGTTGTGAATCAACAACGAGCGTCAATGTGGCACTGCGGGGTCTGGCATGACCACATCAATAAAATGCAGAGTTTGATTCGCGTCAGCTTCAGTTATGCCCATAGAGTGCAACTACACAGTAATAATAAAAATAATAAAACAACTCTTTATTAATAATAATCATACATTTTCAAGACAACCAAAGTAATAAGCTTAGTGATATACAGTGCTCAGCATAATTGACTACACCCCATTTTGAAAATGAATTTTTTAATTAATTTCTCAGTGAATATAGGCCATGTATTTTGGTGCATTTAAACAAAACAGACTTATTAAAGAGATTTATTTATTAA